CAAATCACCCTCGGATTCAAGCCTAGGGATTTCCAAACTTCCGAATTCCGCAATCGATCCAAAACCCTATTAAACCTCATCCGAATGACTTGAAACTTTGCACATACGTCACAAATGACACAACGGACCTACTCCAATTTTTGAAATTCCATTCTGACCCCGATATAAAAATTTCCACTACCAACCGGAAACTCAAAAATTCCAATTTCGCCAATTCAAGCCTAAATCTACCACGGACCTCCAAATTACATTCCGATCAAGCTCCTAAGTCTCAAATCACCTAACGAAGCTATCCAAACCATAAAAATCAAATTCTGAGACCATTTACCTACAAGTCAACTTCTAGTTTACTTTTTCAACTAAATGGTCAACTTAAGAGACTACGTGTCTCATATCACTCCAAAACTACTCCAAACCTGAACCAACCATCACGATACGATAAAATGTAACTGAACAATACATAAGGAAGCAGAAATGGGGAGAACGGGACTGAAACTCATAAAACGACCGGCCGGGTCGTTACAATACTAAATATTTGCTAATTAATAAGCCATAAATATGAACATAATCTACAAATACTAAGTCATGCTAAATTAAGTATGACTAATAAGTACTATTAATTATATAAGTAAACATTAAATAAAAGAACGAACCAAGTCATACATTTTCACTTTCTAAATCAATTTAAAATTAGAAAGTGAATTAAATTTTCACTAGTGTTGAATTAAAATTTTTGCTAGCGCTAGTAACCATTTGATTTTTGTTTTGGCTTTATTTGCAGTATTAATATTTATGGGCTATAAAATTATTGGAGAAAAATTCAAGTCCAAGTTTGAAATAATATATTAAAAGACAAAAACTATGAAAAGGTTTAAGAAATATTTATAAATTATATTACAATAAATATTTTTATGAATAATATATTTTTAAAACTTGTATACATGTAATATCGGGTTGGTTTGGTTTCAATTTGATTTTTTAATTTAAACCAAACCAATTTTGGTCATATTTTTTTAATATCAAACCAAATCAAATCAAATCATAGTCGTTTTTTCGGTTTAACTCAAATTATCGGTTTGGTACAGTTTATTGATTTTCTTTGTACACCCTACATATTATACATGAATTTATGTATATTATACATCCGCCTGCTATTTTTACTTTAAACTATTGGATGGGTGGCTATTTAGGTCAAATTATTTTTGGTTTCTCGTTCGGTGCCCGATATCCGCATTCGCGTTAGACTATCCTGATTCGCACGTCATACCAAAAATTTTCTATTCCTATGAGTCTAATTAAAACCTCTGATCCTCGCTCATTATAAGTTGAGGGACTGTATTCGTTCCACTGCAATCTTTGGTGGTTGTAATTTATTGATTCTAATGTTTGTGCCTTACCTTGGAACAAAATAATTCAAACAATTAAAACAAAATCAGAAATTAGTAAGAAACGAAAAACTTATAAATAAAAAAAAATGTAAAGAAAGTACATTACCAAACCATTGATCCTCTAACGTTCTTGCATGTCTTGACCATATATGCTTGATCAGGATTTGGTTGTCATTACATTATAATTCAACCTATTTTCTTGCTAACTTTTGGTAACTTTATAGGAGTATTAGTTATTTATGTGTCTCAAGGATAGAGTGATTGCTTGTTTATTCCTAGTGGTTGGATTAGGTCTTCCCGTGGGTCGTCTATGATTGTGATGCCCACTTTTTCTTCATTTAGCATTCTTTCCCTTTTATTCCCTTGATGTGACTCTCCCATCATAACTATATATATAATGTATATACTTCGAGATTTTCTTCAATTTTTTCTTACTCCTAAACTGAAGTATATGTGACTGTTGCTCTTAATTTGTGACGAGAATTCGAATATATTAAATTTTAATATTTTTCAAATAAGCATATATATATATATATATAAACTACTAAAAGTACAAATCACAATGTTATAGTTTGAAATACATAAATATTATGAATAAAAATCGCTCTCAATTATTTTTTCGGTTGTTTCTTTGGGATATGGGTGGGGGTGGGACTGGGAACTTCAGTAGACCCATTCTAATCCGACATTGGGGAATGTCTTCTTTTATGTGATGGATTGTTCCAAAATTTACTACGTAATTTACAGATTAATGTTGACACTTTCTTTCCTATTTATAAAATTGAAATAGTTTTTAGTTTTGGAACTAAATTAGTTAAAAATTTCAATTGTAATTAAAGAGTGTAGGCATTATGTAATTTTAATGTTAAAATGCAAGATATGCTTTTCGTAAATGAAAATTGTGCCCACTGCAATAAAATAGTTGTGGTGTGAAGAATTAAAGCTTTCAGACTTCTATTTTTCTTACAGGTTAATAATTTTGCTGTGTTGAAAATTTTGTATATTTCTCCCATTTGGTGCATAATGTTGTTACTAGTGGACGTTATTTCAAGTTATTTCAAAGAATTTGTCATCTCTCTAGCTAACTGAGTTACTCGTATATGCACTGTCTGCAGATTTAAAAGATTATCTATCAAACAATTGGTACAAGAAAGACAACTTATGCATATTGTTAGGTGTTGTCCTAATTTTCTTACAATATTTAATTTTTCTATCTCTTAAAGGAAAGTGCAACATATTTACTATAATTGAGTTTTTTTTTTTGTAGAAAGAAATTATAAATCCCCCATATTTGGCTAGTTTTTTTTTTCTTGTAGGAAAAGATTTGGACTTCTATAAATTGAGGATCCTTCCTTCTCATTCAGTAGCATTCACAATGTAACCATATGAGATTTGAGAGTCGTATTTAGGGGGAGAACTTTACGGGACAAATGTTAGTATGTCACTTGTGTTTGCCTCTTCGTGAGGTTCTTCTCTCGAGATTTTGTACTCTCTTTTATATAGTGGAATGCTCATCTCCATCCGTGGACGTAGGTCAATTGGCCGAACTACGTTATATGTTTGTCTCTTTTTGGTATATTTCTTTTTTGTTGTCTGATTTATCGCCGTTAAAGTATTGCTTTACTAGATTCCGCATGACACCTGACTTTTTCGATCCTAACACATATGATTAGATTTATAACTTTTATGCTGATTAAGTAAGCCCATGTATATATTGTGAAGGCTTAATATGCAAATCGACAGTGTCGTACTTGTACAAATTTTTGTTCCTAGTATTTTCAACTCCACAGATTTTTATCCAATTCAGATTGGAGCATTTACTCATCATTTTACAGAACTTGCACCGGTGATAATGTGGATATGATGTGTCAGTATTCAGGGGTTCAGACCAAGTGAAAAACAGAAAAAGTTAAGGGTGCTTAAAATTGATTTTGAACATGTTTAAACGAAAACTGTGTCAGCACAAGTAATTAATAGTAACAATTAATGAAGTAATCGAATTGATTACAACTCCACCCTACATTAAATTGAGGCATGAAGTATTTTTTATTTACTTTTTCCTCTCCCACTACTCATCGACCATAAAGGTCGAAGTAACATGAACATTTTTCTTTTTAAATTCTACTCTGAAATAATTCTTGTTGAAAAAAACAAAAAAGAAAAAATGAAGAAGAGAAAATTGACAACAATGGTCGACCTTGAGCAAACAGGCTCCCCACAAGAACATAATAGAAACAGGGACTGAGGTAGCATATATCATGTGGGTTTAGCATAACTCAGTAGTGTTCATACTCTATATATTTATTAAAAAATTATTAAATATATACAAAATTAAATTTAGAATCCAATCACCAATATAAAATACAGTATTGGGTTCGCCAAAAACTCTAATGTGTGTTCTATGACACAAAGGGGAAAAATGAAAATGGACAAGGACTTCGCATATAATATGCATTTGGAATATTTATTTTGACTATTAGCTACAAAAATACATGTAATGTAAAGAAAAGATATTAAATAATTTCCTTCACAGTGACAGCCAAGGAAAGGTGACGAAGGAACGGTTTTGGCTTGAAGTGATTAGAAGGATACGAAATGAGAGAAAGAGAGGCAAGGTGGACCCAATCCGACGCCGCATATGGACACGTTACGGGCTGTGGGCTCCCTCGACAGCACCATCAGCTTCCTCTTCTTCCCCTCCCCCTTCTACCCCTCTTCAAGGCCGGAGTTAGAATAATGTCGAACTTAATAATTTTCTTCAAAATTTTATATTTATTTTAAAAATTTATTAGATATATATACAAATTACTCCGATAACTTCTAAGGAGTACTTAAATTTCCGAATTCATTTCAAATCCGCACTCTGCCTCTGCATCCCCTCTTTTTTTTGAGAAAATTATTGTAAATCAAAAAAATGTTGCTCAATTTCTAGACTAGTATCTATCCTTAAGTTAGTTGTAGTAATAATGATTTGTGCATGTAATTTATAATACAATAATAAATTTCACAAATTTCTCCTTTAAGCCTTCTCAAAAGATTTATTCTCTAATAAATCAATTGGTTTAAAGTATAAGAAAATTAATCTGCGGATGAAGTGTGACATTACTTATAAAATGTTTGGTTTCGATATAAAATTCAGGATAACTAATATAATTTTTGTATAAATAATGTATTGTTTTGTTTTCCGGCATTAAACTTCGCATAAGTTGAACGAAAATTTTACTGTTAAACATCAAATAATGTATTATTAATCCCGTTATAACTTGTATAAGAATCTATTTATTATGATATTTACGGGATAGAACTTGAGATCAGATTACTACGTGTAATAGCAATCTATGAATAAGAATATCTAACGGCCAGAATCTCACTAAATTAGGCAATTCCCACATGATAATTCCTGCATTTTAATGTTTGCATTATATTTCCCGTATAATAATTTTTACATTATTATACACTATATAAACAATTCGTGTATAATCATAAACAAACGACCCCTAAATTTACTTTTTCAAAGTTTTCATTCCCTCTTTTGATAATTATATATTATATATATTTTCATTTTTGCATAATGAGTATAAAAGGGGAAATAGGAGAAAAATGAGAAGAAAAAATAGTGAAAGAGAGAAGAAACTGAAAAAAGAGAAAAAATGAAAAGGAAAAATGCTATAGATATGTGTTTGTGTATATACATGACACCTAGAAACACATAGAAGAACCTCAGTAGCATCTTTTTAGAAAATTTCATTTATAGCAAAGGGTTACATATTAGAAGAAGAGGAAAACAAAGAAAGGGGTATCAAATAGCTCACCATGGGATGATAATTCTCTTCCTCCTACTCACTCACTCTTCTACTTTATTAGCTCAAATCAATTCAGCACCAACTTGTGTTTTTAGAGGGTTTTCCTGATAAGGTTTGTGACAAAAGCTTCTTGAATTCAATCCTTTCCTAATTTTTTTTTTCCTTTTGTTTAATTTTTTTGTTTGGGGTGAATTCTACAAATAGCTCAAGAATTTAGCCCAAAAGAAAGATGGCTGCAGGGCCTTCATCAGCTGTGTTTCTTGCAATGAGAGAAGAAGAACAAAACCAACAGATGAAACAACAACAACAACAACAACAAGAACTTCACATTCAGCAGCAACCACAACAACAACAAGCACCACAAAAGAAGAGAAGAAATCAGCCTGGCACACCAAGCAAGTACCTTATAACAGTTTTATTTAAAAAAAAAAACATAAAAAAATAGAAAAAGAGAGCTTGAATTCTCCTTTTTGCATCGAAAATTCAAAGAGAAAAGGTGATTTCATGTAAATTCAACTTTACAAGGAAGGAAAACCCTAATTTGTTTCGTTTTGAAAGGGAAAAAAGAGCACCCAAACATTTTAATCTAATATTAATCTTTATATGTTACCACTTTCTAACAAAATTTATTTATTTTCTGCTCAGATCCAGATGCAGAGATAATAGCACTATCACCAAAGACCCTAATGGCAACAAACAGGTTCGTATGTGAGGTATGCAACAAAGGTTTTCAAAGGGAACAAAACCTACAGCTACACAGAAGAGGACACAATTTGCCTTGGAAGCTAAAGCAGAAGAGTACAAAAGAAGTGAAGCGCAAAGTTTATTTGTGCCCTGAGCCCACATGTGTTCACCATGACCCTTCTCGAGCCCTTGGCGATCTCACTGGTATTAAGAAACATTACTCCAGAAAACATGGTGAAAAGAAATATAAGTGCGAAAAATGTTCCAAAAAGTATGCTGTCCAGTCTGATTGGAAAGCTCATACTAAAACCTGTGGTACTCGCGAATACAAATGTGATTGTGGCACCCTTTTCTCAAGGTATCTGTATACTCCATTTCATCTAAAAGTTTAAGTTATAAGAAAAATGAATTTTTTTATTTGATTTATGGACACCTTTTTTTTTGTACTACTAACAATCATGAGGATTTAAGTTTTTTTTTAATTAATGGTTTATTCGAGTGAAATGGTTGGCATCTTCTTTGATTTTAGGGCTTTTAGATTCCCCAGGTGTGATTGTTGAAAGAGGAGCTAGAAATGATGGAAAAAGTTTTCTCCAGCTTTTCCAACAGTTACAGATTCCTTTTAGACTCAATTTTCTTCTTTTCTTTTTCTTTTTGTCTGTTTTCTGGTAGGTCTTGTTTTTGTCTTTGGATCTTTTACTACACAGTGAATGACGAAACGACTAATTAGCTAGCACAAAATTTATATGTGTGTGTCCACACGTGAAATCATCTACTCCTACTATGGTAATAGAAGTTTCAAAAGCTAAACAAAAAAAAAAAAAAAAAAAAAAAAAACTGTACCATCTAATTAAAATTTTCTTCTCTATCTTTGTCTTGTGAGAGTCTCTTTCCTAGGAACCATCGTCCTTTTGCCGTTACTGCTATCGTTTCTTCATATTCACGTGTTGCTATGCCATGTAAAAATGGTAATGTCCCCCTTACATTTATTTTTATTTTGTTTTGTTTTCTTGTGTGTTGGATAGATGCGTTCAGTTCTGAATTCTTTCAGCCACCCCTTTTCATGATAATGTTTTTGGACCCCCTATTCCCCTTTCAATTATCTGGAAATTTTTTCTCATTCACAATCACTACTACTACTTTTGATGGAAATGCTATGTCATATTTAATCTGTGGTATTAACATCCTTATATAGCTAAAAATGGATTCAAAAAGACTGGTTCTATAGTACTACTCCCTTCTTTTTACTTTCATTTAATGGCGCTGGGTTTTATTCTTTAGCCATTTAGTTTAATAAAGATTAAAATCTATGCACATGATCAGCTCTTGATTCATTATTTCTCATTAAAATGTTTTATACCCAAGTTTTCTTTTTGTTGCGTTTATTCATTTATTTTCAAGGAGTCAATATTAATGTGTGGGGAATTTCATGTTTTTTTACTTTATGTACTCTATGAAATGGGAGGTCATAGTGAATATAAGTATCACCTAAATCCTTTATAAATAAAATTTCATTGTCATTTCCATTATTGGAATTTTCTCGTATTTGAATTAGACAATTTACTTTGATTCTTAATTGTCATCATCTCGGGGATGGGACCACTGTACCAAATCCAACTCATTTTCTAATCCATGTTGTTGTTGACGTTTGGTAAATTCAATGGTAATCATTTATCTCAAAGTTTCTACAACCTGACTAATAGTACATTCTTTTCACAAGAGTCTACTACTTTTAATCTCGTTTTTTGACTAAGAGAGTGACAGTTCGTTGTAATTTTATGTGACATTCTTGGTAAATACCACATGAATATTCTTGTTTTTCAGAATTTTTAACTTAATGGTCTTCATCTTTTTCTTCTTCTACAATTAAATTTTTTGGTCATCTCACTCCTACACAATAAATTTAATTTCAGAAATACAATTCATTTTTTCTTTCTACCTTTATTACGTTAGGTAATTTTTCTCATAAATATTATATATCTTGTTTAATGCAGGCGTGATAGTTTCATCACCCACAGAGCCTTTTGTGATGCATTGGCACAAGAAAGTGCGAGAAATCCACCAAGCTTGAGCAGCATTGGGAGTCATTTATATGGAAGTAGCAATAACATGAGTTTAGGCCTCTCAAAAATGGGTTCCCAAATTTCAGATCATTCTAACTCCACCGATATACTGCACTTTGGTAGCAGCAGCAACATCAAGACTAGTGGCCAATTCGATCACAGCAACCTTATGGGGACGACATCCATTGGCGCCTCAGCTTTCCGCCCTTCGACGTCCTTCTTTCTTCCAGCTGATCAAACAAATCATCAAGATTACGCGGCGAATAAGCCGTCAATACATGGCCTAATGCAACTTCCTGATCTCCACAACAATGGAAATAATAACAGCTCCCCTTCTGTGGCTAGCATGTTCAACCTCAATTTCTTCCAGAATAGCAACAACAATAGTGAAAATGTAGGAAGCCATGGAAATAGCAATATTTCAGCAGGAGGTGGTGGTCTATTGCTTCCGAGTCATCAGTTCAGTAACAGCAGTGGTGACGGGTCGAATAATTCATCCAACATGTTCTCAGCTAGTAGCCTTCTTGGTACTGATCATCACATAAGTTCCTCAATCCCATCTCTCTACGGTAACCATCTCAATAACAACAGTAGTGCTTCACCTGCGCCACCAATGTCTGCCACCGCGCTCCTCCAGAAAGCAGCTCAAATGGGTTCCACAACAAGCAACAACAACATGAACAACAGCAGTGCCTCCTTGCTCAAAGCCTTTGGTTCATCCTCTAGCGCCACCAAATCCGATATTCATCCGCCGCCACCTGTCAACTTTGGCAGCGTTGTTTATGGCGACCCTTTAAGCGAGAATCATCTTCATGATCTAGTCGTAAATGCTTATGGTAATAATGATCAAAATCAACAGAACGACTACGGGAATAACTTTGAACAGCAGCCACCACAGAAGAAGCAAATGATTAATAACTTTTCAATGGAAAATATGGGAACTGAGCAAGCTAATAGGTTGACAAGGGATTTTCTTGGAGTTGGGGAAATAGTAAGGAGCATGAGTGGAGGATTTGGAAGCAGCCACAGAGATCAGCAGCAGATGAGCACATTGGATTCAAAAGCTGCGCCGCCACCACAAAGCCATCATCAGTCTTTTGGAGGTGCTGGAAATTTTCAGTGACGTTCAAAAATAAAAAAGTTGGGGAAGAAGGAAGACATGCACAAAAAGTACAGGTAAAGTTTTTTTTTTTTAAAAAAGAAAAGCTTCTTTCCATTGATTGTAATGTGCCTGTCTGAATGTCAATGTGTATGTCTGTTGTTTTCTACTTTGGCTGCAATCTATTGTTTTTTTCTCGAATAATTGCCCTTTGCCTTCGGATTCTGCAGATATCATGGGATACATTATTTAAAATTACTTACCACGCATACATATTATATTGAATGAGGTTAAGTTCTATATATATATATATATATATAAGTGAATTTTTTGATAAATATAATTGGTAGTTTGATAAACGAGGGACAGAGTTCGAACTTCGAGAGTTAAACGAGTTTTTCTATAATTGTGATTTTTCATATGCGTTTTAGATATTTTGATTTTTTTAATTTTTACGTAGTTCCAAAATAGTATATAAATTTTATTTCAAAAAATTCAATCAAAATTAAGAAGTTTGACTTTTAAAATTTGAGCTCCACTATATAAATTGGAACAGAGGGAATTGATTTACTTGCACATGTTAAAATTTACCGATAGTATAAAAGTATCTTTACATGTAACCTAAGTCCATATATAATTGACAGCAAACATAGGAAAATAAACATTATGTGACATAATCACAAAAATGAGCTTCGTGAACTTTTTTCAAACATGAGATATTGTTTGTAAAAAGAAAAATTTTAAACAGGAGATGTTGTTTGTAAAAACATGTTTTAGTGCGAAAGTTTTGTTGATCTATTACCACTTCATTACTACTTACATTCATAAGCATATTACTAGCTAGTAAGATTAATTGAAATTCTACCCTATTAAGGAGTTAAATGCTCTCTATGTTCAGAAAGAATTCTCTAGTTTGACTTTCTTATAGGTCAAAGTAATTTATCTTTAATCCATTCCGAAATACGTAAGCTTGTACATGCAGTTTTTACAGTTTTTAGTGTTATATATATATATATATATATGTCTTTGTATAAATTGTCGCTTCGCATCAAAAAGGCGAGCGCTTCGCTACGCGCCTCTCGCCTCAGTGAAGCGGGCCCNAATAATGTTATGCCATCTTTGTATATACTATCATGCAATGTTTATAATATTTCAGAATCTCTATCGCATAATTATATTCCTTTGTTGTTTACATGTCTTGTCCCTCTCCAACTGTTCAGCAATTGCCCCTCGTGCTCTCTGTCTTCATGTGAATGCATGTACTAAGTCACGGGGTGCCCCTATTCGGTCTTTGGATACTCAATAGAAATTCAAATGCATTTGGATTATTCGTCCTTTTGAACTATAACAATATACATAATTTTGAATATTTGTTTTTCATACAAGTATTTGTTTTTTAAATCATCAATATAATGTAGTCTTTGCAAACTCTAATAGAACAAGAGGTATGCCATCAAAAATTGGCGGAGTGCTTAGTGTTATGTTTTCAGTATTTAGTTACTAGCTTGACAAAATTTTCGTTTTTTATGTAATGCTATTTAATAATGTTTTTCTTTTCTTATCTATATGTTTGTTATGTAATGCTATTTAATAATGTTTTTTCTTTATCTATATGTTTGCTCCTTATTCTTCGACAGACTTTGATTTAACACATTGTGAATCTTTTTCGTGAATAAATTTTATGGATTTTTTTTTTTGCAGTGATGTAATTGGATCCAAGAAAGTGTTTTACAATGGAGCAGATAGTTGTAGAACGAAGAACTCTTCAAGATTTTAGCAGGAAACTAGAACAGAAAACTTTAGAAAACAAACTTTCTGAGTTTTATTTATTTTTCTTTTTCTTTTGGTTGGTTAGATTCTGTAGTCTTTATTTTTTTAGTTGTTTCTTTTTGTTATTAGCTTTTGTTGTGTAATTGTCCAGATTATAGGCCAAGATACAGGTATTAACTGCACAAAATTTTAGAACTGCCTTTCCTTGAATTGATATCATTGTGCAATTAGCTTTGGCCATCAGATGACAGATTTATATAAATAGTTCTTTTTAGGTTACGTTTTACCATTGTTACCACTCAAACCTATTGCTCGAGAAAAAGAGTCATAAATTTACCGTACAACTTTCGAGCTATATTATTCATTGTTTATCAATGGTAATGTTTATAGTGTTACCAAAAAATTTCAAAAAATAAAAAATAAAAATTCCAGCTATATTGGATTGAAAGTATTAGGAGCCCGGAAGGGACTATATCAAATACCCTACAAACCAATCTAACAGTGAAAAGAAAAAACTAATCTTCAGAACACAGAACACATGCAGATTTAAGATTTAAACTTGATAAATTTTAATTTTAAGGTTTTTAACATTGCGCCTTTAAAAACAATGGTTCATATATATGATTTGTTGAAATTTTAACGATTTTAATTCATATATATATTTCTGTTCAAAAGTTAATAACACTAAAAAGTAAAAATGAACTTGCCGTGCAAAGAACCACATCTGCCACTGCTTAGGAGAGAGGCGTGTCTCAATTCTCTTTACATCAAATTTGTCCAACCTTGATAAATTTAAGTATATAACCGTGTAAAACGTAGTATTGGATAAACTAGACAAATTACATGACAACAAAATAACAACAACATACCTAGTATTATCTCACCCCGTGGGGTAAACTAGACAAATTACATGATGGATGATAAAAGAGACTCATTCTCTGTTTATTGAAATGGATCTAATTCGTATTTAGTGAAAATAGACATCATTAAAAACTATGTTATGTTATTCCTAGTTACAAAAGGTCGAAGGATTTGGTTTACAGCAAGAGAAAGCTTACTAACAATTGACTAATTCTTGCTTGAAATTGAAGTCCATAAGGTTAAAAATTGAAGCGCTCATTTTAATTATTCTCTCTTTTCTTTTTGGTGGGGCTTCACAGTATAGGAAGGGATCCAAGAAATTTTTCTGAGATTTAATCTGCTTTATCATTAACAACTTGGTATACCCACGATATATATTTGGTTGTTTATAAGGAGCTGCATGGCTAATCCAAAAAGCCATATACACATATCAAGTGGACCTTACACTTGAAACTTTACATATATATCTTGAAAACTACAGCGAATCAATTGGTATAATTTATATCAAGTGGACCTTCTATTTGTAGGGTTCATAGTAGATGTTTGGGTTCTCAAATGAATTGATAGAGTAATTAGCAACTGTAATGTAGTATCCCACTAACTAGTTGTTCTCTTGGAATGTTTGGTCTTAGTATAGGCGGCAACATATGCTCGACATATGTTTCACGTTATGATGTTTCAGGGGTCGAACTCAATACTCTACATTTCTTGCAAGTAGGGATGGCAAAATGATTAAAAGTAAAAGTTAACTATTCATATTATTCACTAAAAATAAGGTGGATAATAAATTTTTTTAAAACTAATCAAATATGGATAAGAATCATATTATCCATTTAAAAAATGGATAACCAATGAGTCTAACTTTTACATTTTTAAAGCTTTAAATTTGTTGTTCCTCAAATTAGGGAGACTAAGAATTCTTTCAAAAGTTATCATATGCAAGAAGTTATTGATAATATAGTTAATTACCCATATAATCCGCCGGTTAACCCATTTTTTATCCGTATTAAATATGGACCGGGTCGAATAATTTATCCATTTTCGACACGAATCATATCTGACCCGACCCGCCTGTTTGCCACCCCTACTTGTAAGCAACAAAATATCAAGCATCAGTTAATTAAAGATGTCCTTATCTTTGGCTTCAACCATTGCTTTATTAGCTTCAACATTTACACTACTTTAAACTACAAATTTAGCTATTTCATGGTGTGGTTCGTCTTTATTCGAGAAATTTTATTTTGTACACGACCCAATTATTACTTGGAGACATATCACATACTTGTAGAAGACTCCTTTAAAACTTTGCCAAGTAGATTTTGGGTCCCACTATCAGCAAACATTGGCCAACTCCCAAACCCCTATTCGGGCATCTCCAACCTTTACCCCATTTTTGATCCCCAAAATAGGGGTTTCTCCATTTTGAGGACAACTACAACCATTCCTCCATTTTTTTTATGTTCTTCTAATTTTTCTATATTATATTATTATCTTTCATTTTTAAATTTCTATTAAACAAATTCCATCTTTTTATTAATTTGTAATTTCCATAATTAAAATAATTCCATAAAATTTTAAATAATATAATTTGTAAGCAATTATTATAGATTAACTAATAATTCAAATAAAAGTGAAATCATTGCGATACAAGATTAATTAAATACATATGACATAACGATAAAATTCATTTGAAATACTACATAAATATTCAACTTCAAACTCTAGTATTCTCCCATAAATGATCTATTAATGTATTACGAAGTGCAAAATGAGCATCTTTGTCCTTAATTCTTTTATGTTGAAATAAAAATTCTTGAAATCGTTGATTTTCATCTACTGACATTTCTACATAAAAATAATAAATGCACGAAAATTAATTTATTAAAATTATACACCAAAGCTAAGATATAATATTAATATTATAAAGACATTACACAAACATAATTAGGTATATATAAAGAGATAAATTAAAAGATTAAATAATAAAATAATAATAATAAAAAAGTGATGAATAATAATGGGGGAGATGAATAGTGTACCCCCTATTTGAGGGAACACTATTCATCCCCATTTTGGGGACAAAAATGCAGGAGGATTGGAGCTAAATTCCCCCAAATATTTCCCCCATTATGGGGATGGGGCAAGGTTGGAGATGACCTTACTCTCTCCTCTTCCAAATTTTTACAACTCTCTTAACTCAATATTTTTATTTACCAGAATTCAATGTTCCCAATTTGTTCTCTAATCCGTCTTCTCTCAAGCAATTGATTAAAGATACTCAAAAGCCAAATCCATAAAATATTTTTAAAAAGAAGAAGATTAAGAAAGAATCGAAATTACCGTTGACAAATAATTAAGTTTTGGCACTGTTCATGAAACCCAAAAACAAAAAGTAGACACAACCTCTATAATCTCTATTTTCTCCCTTTCTCGCTCTCTTTTCTTGTTCGAATTCCTCTATTTTTTTCTCTTTTCTTTATCTCTTCTTTTTCTCTATGAAAATTGTGAAAAGCCATAAAACAACACCTCTCAAAAAAATTCAAATAAGTTTGGTAAAGTATATGCAGAGCTATGTTTTGCTTTATTTGATTCCAAGTTTTATGGAGAGCTAGGGCAAAAACTAAAATTTTCTCTCAACAAACGTCGTTTTTTCTTTAAAAAAATATATAGCAATTTCGTTGACAAGCTGTAAAGGATCGAAGGAGCATTTCCTTGACGTCATTGAAGGAGAAGAAGTTAGAATAAATGCGCCCACAATTTCCAAATATCACTAAATAAGGTCTCACACAAGTATTACATGGCATATGAGACTCAAATTAAAATTTGTCTTTATTCTAATAGAGTAATGTTGTACTTTTTTCCTCTCTTCTCTTTTAAAGTTTATTGGATCATTTTAGTTACGTTTATCTAAGAAATGTGCTACTCAATGGTTAAATCAAAGTACATGGTGAAACGAAAAACGATTGACTCAAAAAATAAAGAAAATCAAGGACGAAATTGTTGGAAAATAAATTTCAAAGACGATCTTGCATTTTTGTTAATAGCTTCAGAAGCTTCCGTGCTTTGTTTAATCGATTTGATAAAGAAACAAAAGAGTTACTCAACAAATTGAAACTGGAATACTTGGCAGAGTTAAAAGGGGGAAAGTGCGTGAAGGAGATTATGGAGTGGATGAACACACACTTGAATTGACTGAATTTGAAACAAATTGTTGTTTACCCATAAAATGATGCACTTAAATTTATACGTGGTTTATAGACAAGTGAATTATTTTGATCCTACATTACTAGAAATTCGGTAAAAACCGATCAAGAAAAACCGACTAACTTTGATCAGTCAAAAACCGACCAATAATTTTTAATTTTTTTTTACGAAATCGACCAAAATTTAAAATAAATAAAAATTAATATTAAAAAAACCGACCAACTTTGGTCGGTAAATTTGGCCGGTCATTATGAAAAACCGACCAACTTTGGTCGGTAATTTTATTTTTTAATAAAACCGACCAACTTAATTTGGTCGGTTATTTTCGTGCGAAAATACAATTAAAGAGTATAAATAAAAAATAAGACAATCTTAAAACAAAATGCATCAATGGTCTAGTGATAGAATAGTATCCTGCTACAGTACATACCCCGGTTCGATTCCCAAAAAATCTTTTGATTACATAATTAAAATACCGACCAACTTTGGTTGGGTTTTTTTTTTTGGCAATATTTTTTTTTTTTGAATTTAATTGACCGACCAACGTTGGTCGGTAATTTATGACCAACTTTGGTTGGTATATTAAAACGACCATCAAAATACCGTCCAAGCGTATTTGGTCGTATTTTGGTCGGTAATTGGCCATAACCGACCAAAGTTGGTCGGTATTTACCGGATTTCTAGTAGTGCTAAGACAATAGATGAATTAGACAAAAATGTAATACTTAGCCTTGAAATGGAGATAAAATAGAAGAAATAGCAATTCCGGGAACAGTGCTTCCGGGGACAATAGCAACGATATCCGTAAACAAAAAGATAAAATTATATTAAGCTTTGAATAGAGTATATCGTGTGTTTGCCAGAAGATTCGTGTCTTTTACAATAATAATAATAATAGAACTCACTATTTATAGCTACACCTAGGGAACAAGGTCCTAGGATCAAGCCCCTCTTTAATGTCAATTATGAGGGTCGTTGAAGTATGTGTAACGGCAGGCAGTGAATGTCATATTCCTTTTAACAGGCTGTGTACTTAATGCTATAGAATATTTCTCATTAAATGCTATCGGGTGGCAGGCATTTACTTCATCTTTATGAGTATCATTCTCTCTGGTAACAGACGAGATCGTTGCCTTCGGATTCAACTATCTTCTGTCTTCGGCTC